TTGAGCAGAACCAAAAAGGGTGCAGAAGCTGTAGGTATGTATATGTTCTTCCCCCTGCCCAGTTTTACTGAGATACAATTGACATACAGCACTTCATATGTGACCAGATGTATACACATCATGAAATGATTATTGTAAGTTTACTGAACATCTACCATCTCATATAGATACAGTATTAAAGAAATAGAAGAAAAAAGTTTTTCTTGTGATGAGAACTCTTAGGATTTACTCTCTTAAAAGCATTCAAGTATAATATACAGCAGTGTTAATTATGTTTATCATGTTAATATTGCATCCCTAGTATGTACTTATAACTGGAAGTGTGTATCTTTTGACAATCTTCATCTAATTCCCTCTCCACCCACTACCCACCCCCACTTCTGGTGGCAACAAATCTTATCTCTTTTTCAAGGAGATTTTTTTTTGAAGTATAATTGACCTACAACACTAGATTAGTTTCTGGCATACAGCATAATGACTGGATATTTCCACACGTCTCAGGATGATCACCATGACCAGTCTAGTTGCTGCCTGTTACCATACGAAGATACTACACAGTTACTGACTACACTCCCCAAGCAGAATCATAGACACAGAAAACAAAGAGGTAGTTGCCACACAGAAGGAAAGTGGGAGAGAAATAGGTAAAGCTAATTCAGAGATAGAAACTTTCTTTTACAAAATAAATGAGCCACAGGGGTATGTATATATCCTTTTCCTTGTCTATTGGTAAGCAGAGCTTTGCTAGCATCCTGACTAGTTTATGAGATGAACAACCCCATAAGCAACTCGGGGAGGTAAGACAGTGAAAGAGAAAGAACACTGCTTCCAGCTACACAACTGTTTTCCTCTAGATGAGTGTGGCCTGAGGCAGAAAGGGTTACACTGAGGCTAAGTAATAAATGCAGGTCTTGCTTTAGTGTCAAGACTCCAAGAGACAGAATGAAACACTGGTGGCGGCATGGCTAAAGATGTGGCTGTGGATTTTCATTTGCTACTCTTGATGATTTATAGGATGTGCATAATCAACTTGATTTGACTAACATATGTGAATGGTTACTAATGATGGCTTAAGTAACAACGACTCTGCTATGAAAGCACTTTATAAAAGGAAATTTCCTCAGAATAGAGTGCCTTGAGAACAATATTTTTCTGAGCCTTGATACAGAGTAGTGAGTTGAGCCCACTGTATTTTTATATATCTCTGGGAAAAACAATTAGTTCTTTTCAGTAAATGAAAAGGCATCTACAAAGGAAATTCTTTAGAAAATAGTTCATCAACCGAAGCCCAAGGGAATTGAAGGGAAAATAAATGCTGCAGAGGATTTAGAAACACTTTTTTTCTGCCTCCAATTAGAAAAACAATATATTTAACCCTCGGCCATCACTGTTGCGTGACATCATTGGTTTGCTTCTCAGTTCTGTTCCCCAAAGATTTTCTGGGACACTGAGTGCTGAAATTATGAAGATGAATGAAAACCCTGAAGTTTGTCAGAGATAGATCTATGCGCATGTGTAATTCATCTTGTGGTTTCTTCTACTAAGACTTTATTGCAGGGATTTAAAAATATCAGTGAGAATTCTGGCATGTGGAGTCATCAACCAGAAATAACTTTGCACCAAATCCCCAAATGGTCTTTCTGATTGGCAGGCATGCAAAAGCTGAGAAGTAGCATTTCCTCTTTCTCAGACTTGTTCTGCCCTTTATTTGAAGGCGGAAGCAGTTCAAACTAAAATTCTTGAAAGTAATAGATCTAAATGTGGATTTAATTCCATATTGATGGTAGATCTCCACATTATAGATAACGGGTAAGTTATAAAGGACTTCTTGACTGTCTACAGTATCTAAACTTAAATTATAAAATTTTAGGATTAAAAGAAACTTTAGGGATTATGCATTCACTGCTAATTCTCTCATTTTGGGAAAAAAAAATGAAACCCACAAAACCGAAGATTTAAGATGTCTAGGTCTTTTAACAAAATCCACAATGTTAAACAAAACCTGTAGAATTCTTGACTTGCAAAAGTTATCTGTCCATTAATATTTTTAACCCATTCGGGATGATTATCTTACTAATAAAAGAATCATAATACTTTGCTTCATTATTGCTAGTTTTTTAGATTGACAATGTTAAGAGCATAGAAAATGCAATAAAACATAAGAAAGATATTGTCTGAATTTTCAGAAGTGGTTAGAAGATGTACTGTAGCAATAGCTGAAGGTCAGTTCTTATCAATTGCTTTAAAGATAGGAGAAGTAAAATGACAGTGACTATTGGTGAATAATATGGGGAAAAAACATCAGCTCACACTAAATTTGCTTTCTTCTTAGCCAGAGAAAGGCTGCTAAAGTTAGGTATATTTTGGTGTTAAAAAAATGATTGCTTTTTTTTCACTATATCTTTCTCTGACAGCACTACAAAATGTTAGCCAGAGAACATATATGTTTAAATGAGAAACCCAATGTGGGTTCACTTACCTGTCAACTTCTAGTTAGTCTGGAGAACATTTCCATTGGTTCCATTCATGGTTCTTTCCTTGGATCTATTTGGTTCAATACTCTCAGTCCACCAACTGACAAAAAAAATAGAATATGGCTTATCAAATGGAGTCCTTGGTAAAGTTCAAAGAAAGCACTTAGTATTACCAATGGCAAAATCAGAGTTAAAAATTACCTTGAAATATTTGTAACATTTTCAGCCAATAAAAAAATCTGACACTTGTAAATGCATAAAGTTCCAAACTTAGGATCAGAAATCCATTTTCATCAGTAGAGGATGACAGAGACCATAGATGTCTCAGAGTTTTATTTTTAAAACAGGCTTGATATGAGCCTGTGATCTCATGTAGCTAATATATTCTAACACTGAATTTGCATCAATTCGTAGATAAAGTTTATCAAGACACAGAGTCTGAAGGTTAACCCTGGATTGGGAGTTTTGCAGTTCAGATACTATTTTCTGGGGGGACTGTTGCTCAGTTTAAAGAGCATGGAGCAGAGAAAGAAAGAGGCAGACAGATATAGGTAAGGAAAGATGTTAAGGGTCCAGAGAGAGACTCGTGAACAAATTGTAGCTTAAATTCAGCCATTCATCAAAACTTCCTTCATACATTAAGTACTGATTATCATATAAGATCATAGAAATAGGGAGCCTTATCTCTTTGCTTGGAAAACTCTCAGTTGAATAGGAATAAAGAGATAAATATTTCTAGTGTCACATTTTGGAATGGCATAGTCTATAGAGTGATAGCGCAGAAAGAGGAATGGTACTTCATGGGGAGAGTAGCAGACCAGGGTGTCAGGATGCTTAAAAATTGGAAATATTTAGATAGAAAAGAAGGCTAAGGAAAAGAATTATTTTAATCCACCTAAAGGAGTGCTTTAGCCGTCCTACAAATAATAGGCTACAATCATTTCACTTCTGTATCTTTGCTCATTCCATTGCCTTCTGAGAATGTCCACTCTTCTAAATTCTACCAACTTCAAGTTTTTGTTGCAAACCAATCACTTCCATCTTGCCAAACCACAGGGCTATGTCTGAGCTGACCCTGAGAGCAGGCACTTCCATCACACACACACTTGGTGCCTCGTCTGTAACATCATCAAATGCTTCTATCAGAACCAATTCACCTGAGCTTGTACTGTACGCCTTTTAGAGCAGGAATGAAACATCTGTCTTCAGTCTGTGACCATGCTTTGTACCGAAACTGAGCACATCAAGACTCAATAAATACCGTGTAGAAAGTCAATTAGCCTGCTTCCTTTGGTGAAGAACAACTCGAAGCTGACATCCCAAGTCCCTTCCTTCGTGCACCGTTTTTCGAACTAAGGAAGCAGAATGGTTCGCTCTCACATGAACTTCCAAGCTTATGGAGGTGAAGTGAGAAGGCTTTGCACATCTCTGAGGGTCCAGCCTGGTAAGGCTGTCAAGTTAAACAAAACTTCTTATCCCCAAAGGAGGTCTTGAATCTAGAACAATCTCTGTCTTTGTCCCAAGTGTCATGATTTAGTCCACAAAGTTTTGAGCCACAGAGAAAACTGATCTGTTTGTGTCCTGTATCCTGAAACTTGCCAAGGTATCTTGCTTTCATCTTTCTGAATTTTTTTACATCCATTACAAGCTATTAAAAGCCTCAGGCATGGACAGTGGTTCTTTGGGCTCAGCCGTGGCTTCTTCGCTTCTGAAAACCAGTATTTTCTGTTGAACATGCCTTCATCTTGTTACAAAATAGGGCTCATGAATTTGGCCCTGCTCAGGGAACAATCAGCATGCTGGTGATTGCTTTGAATGCAGTATTATACTAATACAAGATCTCATTAAAACCCCTTTCATGGGAACTGGGGGTTTCTTCCCAATCCAAATGGAGATGGTAGTGTTCATTATGTGTTCAGAAGTGTTCTCTGTACCATCAAATGGCTTGAGGAAAGAAAATCTTTTGACCTTTGTAATTGCTACAATATTATGTAGGGTTCTTGCTCCAGTTGAACAGAGCAATAAATATTGCAGAGCTGTACATTTTTTTTCCTCCAAAAATGCAATTAAAATAGGGGGAAAAATTCTTCTGAGGGCATTTATTCATGGGGGGTGGGGGCAGATTATACTGCAAGATGCTGCATGCATTTGGGATAATTTCCAGCAACTGGCTCGGGCCCTCAGGTTGCAGAATTAGTTCATCTAGGGCTTCAGCTCCTGGTTTCTGACTCATTAAGACTGTCTTGTCAGGGTAGGTATGTGATCAGTTTCTGGACTGCGAACTAAGCCCAATAAATTGCTGAACTCAGCTTAAAAAGTTAATTACCAAATCTGGTGCATGTGGTGCAGAAAAAAAGGACAGAAAGTAAAAATTAATGTGCAGACAAGCAGTTTTTAAAAAAATTAACTTCAAAAATATAAATATTCCACTGGTATTACTTGGGACTGAACACAGTCTCAACTCACCTCCGAGTTCCAGTCTCTTGATTACTTGCCAACCTGTTTCCTTTTTCTGTTCTCTTACAGGTCCGTGTGGGGATGAGCTCGGATATTTGTCAAGATATCTTGACAGATCATATGCAATGTACAAGGCAGGAACAGTTTTCCCAGACACATTAAAAATGTCCACATTCAAGGTGAATATGACATGGGGTTTTAGTAGAAAGATATTTTGAGTTCCAGTTCACAAGTTTTCCTGAAGGGCTGCCATTTTATGTTTTAAGGAGGAAATTCCTTGGTGCATTTCCAAAAAAAAAAAGTTTTTCTTTTCTTCAAACTGATAATATAAAAATAACTGCTATAGAGTTCACAGTGGACCCAGTCCTCCTTCTGTGCCTGGAACTTCGGAAGCTGTGATAGGAGGTGGTGGGGCCATCAGCACAGTTCTTCTGCACTGGGGGCAGTTTAGGAGGGTGGTTGAACCGTGCCCCTTCCGCTCTGTTCTCTTTCACCATGCCCTGGGTTTGGTGGAGGACAGGGAAGAAGTGGACCCTGATTTTTCTGTTTTCATCCTCTTCCTCCTCATGGGTTGAACATAAACATGATTCCTTTCACCAGATACGCTTGAACAATCCTATTAATAGCTTTCCTGTGTCAGATTTAAATATACCTAAGAAAACAGAGTTAAGCTAAAGGTACTGCCAAGTATAAACTCTGTAAATGCAGAGACCCATCTTTTCATTCTTGATCCCTGTGGTGCCTGGCACAGGGCCTGGCATCGAAAATTAAGACTCACTCTTAGTCTTTGCTGAAATAAGCAATGCGCAATGTTCAAAGACTAGCATGTAAATACGGTAAGGCCTTCACAGAAGCACATGCTAAATGCTTCGGGATCACCATGGATGGAGTACTTGCAGAGCATAGAAGTATTTCAGTAAATGTTGATGAAATCATCTGAGGGGTTGCACACCCCAAACCTGTTGTTTCACATAGATCACCATTTTCTAGAAAGCTACCCTGTTCCTTATTTCTCCAGCCCCAAACAAGCATCATTTCCAGAGTGCTTACAGGAAGGCAGGTGCTGTGGTAGGTGCTCTGGCTTACTGAATGTAATCTTTCAAACAGTTTTGTTACATACATGTACTCTCTGTAAATATAGTTACACCCATTTAAAAGACATAATAATCCAGGCTTGGAAATGCAGTTTTCTCCTCAAATGGATAGCAGTTGTAATGAGCAAATTAAGGCTTCAAATCTAATTATGTCTTAAACACCAAGCCTCTTATCTATCCATACCATCATGCTACAGAACTGGAGAACAGAAGAGACATTCTGTCTTCCCTACTAGGAAGAAAAAGTGTAGACATTTAGTCTCCTCCCTCCTAATTCTTAAAGTGCTATGTTCATTTCTTAGGTGCTTTTCTTACCCATACCTTACAGTGATTTTTATTTGCTTTATTAAAAATTGGGGGAAAAGAAGGAAGGTCTGGAAAATCCACATAACCAGTCAATACTATCTCCTCCCAGTCCTCCAATTTATCCTGGAAAAACTTTGCAGTTGGCTAATGGTTACAACATCAACAAATAACTTCTTTCTCTTTCCTCATTAAACTAAAGGGGGAAAAAAAATCAACTGATGCACTCACTGCATTCTTGTTGACTGGTGGCTCATTACAGAGGCTAATAAGAGAAAATACATTCTCATATACTGATCATTGGAGCTCAGAGAATTTGAAGAGAGCCACCTGCTGAGTAAGTATCCATTTTTGCTTCTGACTTTGTATGTATTAGTCTGGTCAATTTCCCCAAGCTGGCCTGATTAGGAAAGTTTTATTAAAACAAATGGAGATGAGACTTAAAATTAGTAGAGGAAAGCCAAAGCTGTGTCTGAACCACTCTCACAGGCTTCATCCTCAGCCAGACGTGCTGACCACTTGGCACAGGTCTGTGGCAGACACTGCAGCGCATTCATCAGAACATCAAGCCTTTCCTTTTTGCACAGAGCTCGACTTACGTTCCAGCCTCCCCTGGAAAAAGCTGCCATCCTCCATTTTCCATCCAACTGAGGAAAATGAGGCATGCTGCTTTCATATCCCAGCCATCAGATGTCTTCACAAGCACATGCTCAATCCCAGTCTCCCTCCCTCCCAGCTTGCCTCTCATCCTGCCTCTCTCTCTCTCTCTCTCTCTCTCTCTCTCTCTCTTTTATCTGCTTCCTAAATGTTTTTGTTATTGTTGTTCAGGTGACTCACTAACTACATATAAAATATAACAGGCTTTTTTAGACTGAATTTCCAAATGACTGCATGGACATCAATATTTTACATTGCCAAACAGTTACTGATAAGACTTTAAAAGAGCAAGAAGTGAGTTTCTATGTATTAAACTCCTCAGATTTCAAGGATGGTCTGTTATGAACTAAATGTCTGCATCCTCCTCCAACAAAATTTATTTGTTGAAGCCCTAACCTACCTTCCCAGAATACAAGATGTGATGATATTAGGTGGTGGGCCTTGGGAGATGGTTAGGATTAGATGAGTCCTCATGAATGGGATTAGAGGCCTTATAAGAGATACAAGGCAGTCTTCCCCTCTCTGCTCTCCATGTGAGAATATAGGAGAAGTCCAAAGTCTAAAATCTGAACAAGGACTCTCACCTGAACTTGACCATTTTGACTTACAACTTCCAGAGCTTTATATTCCAGAGATATAAAGGATTTTTGTTGTTGTTGCTTACAAGTCACTCAGACTATATTTTTGTTATAGTAGCCTAGATGACTGAGGCCAAAAATGGTGCTAATTTAACTAATTAATATTCCTTAATAGATTAAGCTGCTTATGGGATACACAGATTTCCTTTGTCTTTTATAGAAAAAGACTTGGAAAAAATCACATGCCATATTTTAACATACTTACATAGAGATTCAAAAACAAATGTATTAATCTATTTAACTTTATAGATAAAGATGTCAATACAGACAGAATAGGCATAGGTGTACATATATATGTAGATGTAGCTATATAGATAGATTCAGATACAGAGAGAAATATAGATGTGTTCCCTTACAAAGATAAATTTTTTGCCTCTATACAAATTTGGAACAAATCTCATCACATAACATATTTCAATGAAGGTTTTGTGAACTTGAAACTTAAGGTGAAAACAACCAAACTGAATATAGTTGCCTGGAAATTTTACTTGTGAATTATTTAATATCACAATAATAAGAACCTCAAGACAATTGACTCTATAAACATAGGAACACAAGAAAGAGACTAAGAAAGATAAAGAAGGGGAAGAGAAAGAAGGCACTTTATAGTTATATTTGTGAAATTCTCCATGAAAGGTTTATCTTGAAGATCCAAGTACAAATCTCATAGGTTCAAGTAGGATAAATCAAGAAGAAAAATTCAGAATTTGATAAGAAGTGTCATTGTAGATTTTAAGCCCCATGTAGAAAATAACCTCCTCAAGAACCAAAATACGTTCAATTTAACAAAACATTCTGAGGAACGACCATGAATAAGTCATTCTGCAAAGTTAAAATATGAATAATACTTAGAGTGTAACAAGACAGTTTCCCAATCCAAGGGAAGAATGGGTTGGGTAAGACCATTTAAACACTGTACCAAGTACAATAGAAGCATACACAGGATAGAATGGAAATTTAGGAGATCACAGAAAGATTACCAGAGGAGATGACAACACAGCTGAATCCTGAAAGACAGGAAGGTTTTGGATAAGCACAAGCTGGAAGCAGACAAGCGTAGGAAGACAGCAAACGTAGCATATTTCTCTTATTATTGAATTTCTGCTCAAAAACCCTTACATGTCAGAAAAGTTGTATGTACAAAATTTTGTATAATTTTATTTAGAATAAATCTATTAAAAGGCTGAAAATATGAAATGTGCCTTAATCAAATCAAAGATGAAGAATTCTTAGAAATTAAGAAAAGCAGATAACATCACATCTACAGGGAAACAGAAACTTGCAAAATGGGCAGAAAATGCAGAGCTGAAGCAGAGGTAGTGAGTGGAGTGAACTGTGCTTTGAGCTACAAATAAGGAAAAATGAAGCGAAAGTCAAAGTCACTCAGTCGTGTTTCACTCTTTTGACCCCATGGAATTCTCCAGGCCAGAATACTGGAGTGGGTAGCCTTTCCCTTCTCCAGGGGATCTTTCCAACCCAGGGATCAAACCCAGGTCTCCTGCATAGGAGGCAGATTCTCTACCAGCTGAGCCACAAGGGGAGCCCAAGAATACTGGAGTGGGTAGCCTATCCCTTCTCCAGCGATCTTCCCAGTCCAGGAATCGAACTGCGGTCTCCTGTATTGCAGTAGGATTCTTTACCAACTGAGCTATCAGGGAAGCCCACAAATAAGGGAAGAGGAAATTTAAAAATCACATAATCAATTCACCTACAACAAACTCAAGATGTGGTCCATTCCAGGTTGGTCCCATGGGTCCACAATAGCATCAGTGACCCTCAGGCTCTCCTTATATTCTTTGTTTGCTAATAGCTTCTGTTGTCAAGGTTAGATACAGTTTTTTATGACTCCAAACACCATTTACTGACTGGAAATCTCCCAAGCAGGAAAAGGAAGAGTACAGAAAGTAGTTTCATCTTGCGTATTCCTTTCTTTTATAATGAAAGGAGAAAAATCTTCCCCAGAGACTAGAGAACCCATTAATTCTTATGTTCTCCAGGCTACATGTTCTCCTGTTGACTAAGCACAGACAAAGACAGTAGAGCCTGCTATGACTGGAGAAACAAATCATCATTCAAATTCTGGGGCTGGACACATCATGCTGCTGCTGCTGCTAAGTCGCTTCAGTCATGTCCAACTCTGTGCGACCCCATAGACAGCGGCCCACCGGCCTCCTCAGTCTCTGAGATTCTCCAGGTAAGAATACTGGAGTGCATTGCCATTTTCATAGTTCCCTGCCAAATAAAGGTCCTGGTAGTAAGAAAGGGTACAATCAGGGGTAAATAAATGCGCCAGGCATTTGTCATTCAATTGCTAATCCATGTCCAACTCTTTGTTATCCCATGGACTGTAGCACGCCAGGTTTCCCTGTCATTCACTATCTCCTGGAGTCTGCCCAAACTCATGTCCTCTGAGTCCAATCATCTCATCCTCTATTGCCCCCTTCTCCTGCCTCCTGTCCTCAATCTTTCCCAACCTCAGAATCTTTTCCAATGAGTTGGCCCTTTGCATTAGGTAGCCAAAATATCAGAGCATCAGCTTTAGCATCAGTACTTTCAATGAATATTCAGGGTTGATTTCTTTAGGATTGACTGGTTTGATCTCCTTGCAGTCCAAGGGAAAAACTATACCAGGCATATGGAACTCAGATTAGGATCACATGGCATAAGGAGCTGGAAATAACCTTGCAATAAATGAAAGGATGCTTGTTATTAGAACTGTATTGAAGTAACAAGTCTGTGTTATTTCCTTCATTCCTGCTTGTGTTTCACAAAGTTTCTTGCTTGCCTTGAAAACACACAAAGCAGTGGATATGAGAAACTGGGCTGGAAAGGGGGTCTCCTAAATGGCTTCCTAATCAAGAAGTGTAGGGACCCTGAAGCCCTTTTTACAAATTATTAGCAAGTTCCATACATCAGTATATCCTCCTCTATAGAAGGAGCTTATATGCACAAGGTGGCAAACCGTGACTCAAAAGCTATGATTAAAAAAACCATTAAAGACAGATTGTGAAGATCCCATAGAGAAGGAAACAGCAACCCACTCCACTATTCTGCCTAGAAAATCCCGTGGACAGAGGAGCCCAGTGGGCTACAGTCCATGGGGTCACAGTGGGACATGACTTAGCGACTAAACAACAAAGCAAAGTAAACCCAATGAACTGAAAAACAGATTGAAAAGTATAAGCATATGATAAGAACAAATTAAGCAAACTTGATATTTCCAGAGAACTTCAAACAATTATCACATTCATAAAAAGGGAACAGACTGCTCACACACACACACACACACACACACACACACACAACTAGAGATCTTGAAAAATAAATGTAAAGTCACAACTGTAAGGGCAAAGACAAATTTAAAACAAGAGCCTAAATTCTCTCTTGAAAATACATAGAATTCCCTCTTCCCTTTTCTTAGAGCATTTACTTTGGAAAACTTGTAATTCCAAGTTTCAATCTCTTTGAAGTGTATGAAAATCTTTTAAAAAGTTAAATAAGCATGTTGTCCACTTTACAGCCCAGGAATAACTTTATCAAGGACCCGAGAGCCATCTCTTTAAAATGTAATTATCCAAAGGGAGAGCACACCCCTACAGTCCAGTTTCTGCGGGAGGGGTGTGATCTAAGTAGCTTTAGTCGTGTCCAGCTCTTTGTGACCCTATGGGTCTTAGCCCACCATGCTTCCCTGTCCATGGGATTCTTCAGGCAAGAATACTGGAGTGGGTTGCCATGCCCTCCTCCAGGGGATCTTCCCCACCCAGGGATCAAAACTACATCTCTTATGTCTCCTGCATTGGCAGGTGGGTTCTTTTCCACTAGTGCCACTTAGATTCCCACCAAATCGTAAGACTACTTTCTGCTATAAAATACAAGAAGTTTCTTTTTTCCTTTGGATAAAACCAGTTAGCTATCATAGATGGTCATCTCAACTATAAAGTAAATTTAGGATGACTTATCCTTTAATTTATGATGACATAAGGCTTTCCTCATAGCTCAGCTGGTAAAGAATCTGCCTGCAATGCAGGAGACCTGGGTTCTATCCCTGGGTTGGGAAGATCCCCTGGAGAAGGAAATAATAACCCACTCCAGTATCCTTGCCTGAAAAATCTCAAGGACAGAGGAGCCTGGTGGGCTGCAGTCACAAAGAGTTGAGCACGACAGAGCAACTACCACTTTACTTCATGTATGACAAGTGATGCTGTAAGTCCTCTTATTTGAGGCCTTATTTACTTGTTTATCTTGAGAATGTGTGCCATGGACTGTGTGTGTTATGCAATTTGAAAGAGTGAGGCTTTTTTCTGTGTTTGCAGATTCTTAAAAGATTACCTGTGATGCATATCTATCTGCTTTAACACTTATTTAATAATAAAATTGGCTTTCTTCCACTTATACTCGTGTGGAGAGGTTTTCTTGGGTGGTAGGAAGGTTCGTTTTAATGATATTTTCCTGAACACAAGTAAAATACAAATTACAGAGTTGGAAGAGTGAGCCAAAAAGTTCTTCCAAAAGGCAATGTATTATAAACCAACTATATTACAGAAAGTTGTGACATAGAGGATAGGTTCAGAGTTCTACTATATAGTTAGTAAGATTTCTAGAAAAAAAATGAATATAATTGAGGTGAGATTATTATACAAAAGGAAAAAAAAAAGAAAGTCAACTTCTCTACATCATAGGAGAGATATTAGCTTTTAAACTGAAAACAAATGTCATGTGGTCCCATCACTTCATGACAAATAGATGGGGAAACAATGGAAACAGTAACAGACTATTTTCTTGGGCTCCAAAATCACTGCAGATGGTGACTGAAGCAACAAAATTAAAAGATGCTTGCTCCTTGGAAGAAAAGCTGTAACATACCTTGACAGTGTATTAAAAAGCAGAGACATTACTTTGCCAACAAAGGTCAGTCTAGTCAAAGCTATGGTTTCTCCAGGAGTCATGTGTGGATGTGAGATTTGGACCATAAAGGAGTCTGAGTGCCGAAGAATTGATGCTTTTGAACTGTGGTGTTGGAGAAGACTCTTGCAAGTCCCTTGGATTGTAAGGAGATCAAACCAGTCAATCCTAAAGGAAATCAGTCCTGAATATTCACTGGAAGGACTGATGCTAAAGCTGAAACTCCAATACTTTGGCCACCTGATGTAAAGAACTGACTCACTGGAAAAGACCCTGATGCTGTGAAAGATTAAAGGCAGGCGGAGAAGGGGATGACAGGACAAGATGGTTGAATGGCATCACTGACTCAATGGACATGAGTCTGAGCAAGCTCTGGAAGTTGGTGAAGGACAGGGAAGCCTGGCATGCTGCAGTCCATGGGGTCACAAAGAGTCGGGCACTACTGAGCAACTGAACAGCAACAAACAAAAAGAAAAAACTGAGTCTCAAGAAAGATAAATAGAAAAGAATAAAAGATGACACTTCAACACATTAAAGTGAAATTATAGAACTTCAGTAAATGAGAAAGCCCAAAATTTGGTCAGAGAAAAAGAATGCACATTCAAATTAAAAAGATAAATCATTATTAGCATTATAAATATTGGAAGACTGTTGAGTCATTTCTTCAAAGATATGATAAAAAATTATCTCAAACCTAGAATTTTATACCTAAGCAAACAGTACTTGAGAAAGAACCAAACTTGGAATTTTTCATGTGAGTACAGTCATAAGAAGTTTTAACCTACACATACTATTGGTTATATATGCCATTAATTTTTTCTAATCCAAGAATTAGAAAATATAGAACGTAAGGGTAAAGACACTAGTAACACAGTAAAGAATGGTGATATATAATGTAAAAAGATAAAACTTGAAATAAACTACCAAAGGATCTTAAGAAGTCAGCAGAAGAGAAAGTATACAAATTTTAAGCCTCTTCTCTTATCTAAGACAAGATATAACTAAAAATTAACCCTGGATATTAATAAGTAAATATAAGATTGAAAACGTATGTTAAAATTTTTATGATAACCACTAGAGGGATAATTAGCATGTACAACTGTTACACTGCCAGTGGGAGAAAATATTAAAAATTAAAACCCTGTTCATCTAAAATAAGAAAAGAGGAAAGAAATTTACAACAAAACAGAGTAGACTCAAATAAAAACCAAGATGGAAAAAGTAAACTGCATTCACCATAAATTTAAATACATTAAATTCCCTATTAACAGAGACCTTCCAATCAACTAACAAAATAACATATTTGAATTATAAGAATGATACCTAAAATTATTCAGCAGTGGGCATGTAGAAATAAACAAATTGAAAAATGTATATATATATATATATATATATATGTGTGTGTGTGTGTGTGTGTGTGTGTGTGTATAAAATCTGCCTGCTAATGCAGGAGACACAAGAGATATGGGTTTGATCCCTGGGCCTGGGAAATCCCATGACAGAGGAGCCTGGAAGGCTACAGTCCCTGGGGGTCACAGAGTCAGACATGACTTTGCTACTGAGCACTTATATATCAGCAAGAGACTGACAGTAAGAAAAATGTGTAGATGTCACTATAAAAATTAAAAATCATCATGAAAAGTGATGAGAAAAACAAAATGTTTAAATCCATTCAAGAATGATAAAACTGAATAGACAAATATCTATTAAAATATTGGAAAGATGTCAATAATATGTCTCTAAAATGTCACTAAGCATACTTTTGCTACTGTGTTCTACCAAATTTTCAGGAAATAGTTTATTCCCATGTATTACAATTTTTCCAGAGTCTCATCCCATTCATCTAACTAGTGAATGAGTACTGTGTTGATGGGAGTTTTAAATGTAGTTTTAAAAATTAGCAAAATTATGATATAAAAATAAAATAAAGGCAACACCAAAAGTTAAAATTATAATCACTTAAAAAAAAGATGAAAAATGTTAAATAAAGTAGTAGTGTGGACAGTGACTACAACCACGAATTTAAAAGATGCTTGGTCTTTGGAAGAATAGCTATGACAAACCTAGATAGTGTATTAAAAAGCAGAGACCTCACTTTGCCAACAAAGGTCCGTATAGTAAAATTATGGTTTTCTAAAAGTCATGCATGGATGTGAGAGTTGGACCATAAAGAAGGATGAGTGCCAAAGAACTGACCCTTTTGAACTGTGGTGCTGGAGAGTCCCTTGGATAGCAAGGAGATCAAACCAGTCAATCCTAAAGGAAATCAATCCAGAATATTCATTGGAAGGA